CCATCAACAGCTGGTCATGAACAAGTAGAAGAAAACGACTCAAAGTTCTTCACAATTTGGGAGACACATTGACTCCACGTTGAGTATTTTGCTCAAAGTCCATCGTTGCACATCCTGGAGTGCTCGGCCGTTTCAAAACAGCTGCCTCAAGTCAGAAATCCGTCACACCCAGCAATTGTGCTGTGGTGATGGTGACCCAAAAAGTCGTTGCATGCATGCGTGCGGCTTGTTGAAAACCCAAACCCAAATATGGGACAAGACCTCAGACCAAAATTAGCAATATACAGTAGAGCAGCCATGCGCCTGGCTCTGATATTTAACTTCTGCAGAGGCAAAGCAAGCCTGCCCAGTCACATGAAAGCAGTAAACAGGCCTGTTTGCTTACCTATAGGAGCATTTCCTTCTTGGAAAAACATTGCATCCTCTTATAAGTCCTGTTTTGAAATGTATGATCCTTGAATTGTTCTTGTTGCTATTTATACTGTGCATTCAGAAAAGCAGGAAACTTTTTGATTGCAATGGACATATTCTGTGCTCACAATACTGTGGGAAGAGTTATTTCCTGCATATTCAGAAGCTGGTTGAGAACATGCACAAAGCCGGACAACAGAGGTTTCTCTGACGATAGAAGAACCTCAACAACGCCAGCTCTGAATGTTCAACGTTGTTCACAAAAGAACTTTGATGGATATTTTCTCCTAATTCACATTCTAAATCCTTGTGGAAGCTACTGCAGTGTGTTTTACTGTGATGCTGAAAGGTTTAAAGGTTAAAAACCAAATGTTTACCCATTCTTCGCCGTCTTTAAACGTGAGTAGGGATCAAAGAGACCTAGCTTTTCATCTATAGTTCAATGCAAAAGTCTGACCTATATTTTAGTTCCTGAGTCGCCCTCCTCAGGCGCCAGACTGTTTTTGTGAACTTCCATGATTAAATCAAACCTTTTCTTGCCTTTTTCAAGAGCTTACAAACTGTTCAAGGTTCAATTTTTTGTTTATTTTTGTAATGCACTTCACCTTCACTGGAAAGCCTGGTAAAAACTCTGAAGCTTTTCTGTCATTTCAGTCACGATCATCTTTTAGAACAACATTTCTAATATGTTCTCTATTACAACTATTTCGTGTTTCTCTTTATCCTCACACATCAAAAAAGGATCATAAGACCAAGTCTAGGAGGAAGAACATGGATTATGTTAAAGAATCTTCCCTAAAATATCCAATCACCTACCAAATATTGCATCTATGCAATCATCAGCATTTGCAGTAATGCATACCCTAATTCTGGGGTGAGAACTGATGTTGGACCTATTGTGCAACCCTTCATATCTGTCTGATCAGTTTTTATTAGTTATATTTTTCAACTCATGCACTGAGTTCTAGTATGACCTGCTTTGTTTAGGTCAGCAGGTGTTCTCAGTGACCGACACAGCTCTGCTGGTTCTCTTCCGCTCCACAAACCTCTGAGCTAACAAGCTGAGGCCTTCAAATATTCAGCAGCGGTGGCACCATGGTGCTGAGGGATGGTTTACTGTCATTGTTCTTTCCATAACACTGGCCCTCTGGCTCATTTATCTCCCACCTTCCTAGATGAGATTAAACTTCTTTTCACTGCAGTCTTACATTTGGTAAAGATGTAATTTCAGAGGCAGCACAGCCACTAATCAAATCAAAGTAAGGACAGGACAAACTAGGAGTATGGCTCAGTGAGAGGTGGAAGAACAGGTATTTTTTTTTCCATCCCGGTGCTTTAATTACAGCCATAAAGATGCACCAGAGAGAAAAATCCAAAAGAGCAGAAGCTACTCTTTCATTCCTGGAGCTCTGCCCATAAGGTACTTGGGATATTCATGAGGTCTAATTGTGTGCAGATGTTAATTTTTAAACAGAGAAGTATCAGGTGCAACCTCTGCTCAACCTCGCCTTAATGAAATGTGGAGCTCAACAAGACAAGGCGGGAGGCAGCGGTAACAGCTTCAGGCTTTGACGGATGAGGGGACTGCACATGAGTCGACTCTCTTGGCTTCACAACATGTTGGCTCGGTTTCAGGAGTTAAACCAGACCCTTTAAGCCTCCTTTACAAGCTTGATACCCGTAGCATGGAAAAACTGAGTGTTTCTATCCTACTTTTTTTTTTAATATATAAATTGACTTTTTTTTTCTTAAAGTTACTGAGTCGAGAGTGTAATTTATGACTTTTTTGTCCTGCTGCAAATTAAATTACACACGAAACAAGAATGCATGGTAAAAAACAAAAACAAACAAAAAACCAGATCGTGTTTTCAGCAGCACATTTTATTGCCAAATACGTGGCATTTCAATCAAAATTATTGGACTGTAGAGCAAAAGTAATGAGTTTTTCCATAGTGGTCACATGCATAGCGTACGGAGGAATGTTTGAAGTATTTATTTATAGCAAGCTACAGCCTTGCAGTCTGAGCGGGGAGACACAAGGACGCATCTAAACACGAACCTAGGCTTGCCAAGTCATGAGTTGTTAGATTAATTTCAAAGAGACAGGGAGCGCAGAGCAGAAGCCAAGACCCAATTCTGGTAATCAACCTGCCCCCCCCCCCTCCAGCCCAGCCCTCCCCTCCTCTCCCAAAGACTCCCAGACGCTCACGCTGTGTCAGCTTCTTTGAACGTTAGATTCTCAGAGCCCTTATTGCGACTCACTGCTCAGTTTTCCATACTGCCTGCTGTAGAGTAGCTGAATAACGTTTTCCAACATGTTCCCTATGTAAGGAAGCTGGTTGGTCTTTCAGCTCATCGTTCAGCAGTCCTGGCATTCCTCTCTGGTTCTGTGCGTCTGGCTCTGTGCACCACATCGCCAGATAAATATAACCAGGGTCATCCACTGGCACCGTCGCTGCAGCCAGTTGGGGCCTGGCAAAGGGCCCCACAACAACTCTGCACTTATGATCCAGCTAAGCCAGAAGGGATGGAGGGGTGTCGGCTGGGTGGGGGTGACCTCTTTCTGTGGCCTTAAAGAACCCCTGGGTGGGGGCCCAGGCTTAAGAGGCTGAGCCCCAAAGATAGGAAAAGGGGGCAGGGGTGAGACTCTTGGATCTCAGAGTACAGCGCCCCCTGGGGAAACTGCAACAATAAAAGCAGCATGTTCCTCACGTTAAAGTGGGACATCTTAGAGCTATAAACACCAAAGGTCTCAGTGTGAACTTTAGGTCAGTTAGCAACCCTTTTTCCAGAGAAAATTAGACATGATTCAGTTTTTCCCAAACTGCAGGGGATCTGTTTGTTTCTAAAAAGCTGCTCCCCATGAGTTCATCGCAATTTGCCGTTTTTACTCAATAGCTTACCCACTTATCTTATCAATTGAGATTACAAAACACAAATAGTTTAAATGTCCAATGCATTCATGTACGGACATACAGTACAGACTTACACTGATAATATCTGATCAAATGTCTTTAGCAAAGATGGGCCTCAACCATCAGAAAGCCTCTCTCTCTTTGATATTTTCCTACATTATTAGCTCAAAAGGTGGAGTATAGGCAAACTGGTTGACTTTCTTGAGTGTTTCTGCCTTTTAAGCATAGTCCATCATTTTCCAACTCTACATGGCGTGAGGGTGTAGAAACTGTGGAGAGTCCTCTTCTTACACTGTTTCAGCAACTTCCTGCAATGCACAGGAACCAGTAGAAGCCAAAAAGACCCACAGCATAATTCTGCCACCATTGTACTCTACTGTATGTGTAATCTTCTCTTAGGTGTGAATGTCTTACTTAACCCTGTAACACATTCTTTTCTTCACTGCGGCTAAACAGATCAATCTTTTCATCTGCCAATTTCAAATCCAGCTTGTCCAGTTAATTATAGACTAGATCTTTGGGCTCTAAACAGTTTTATACTGTTTTTGGGTTGGGTGTAGGTAGGTGTGTGGGGCATTTTGGGTTAATGGTGGAAACTTGGACACAGCTGTGTGTTACAACAGTGTAATCCCTACCTAACCTGACACCGCCAGATGAATTTGCTCCACATATCCATCTGGAAACCTTCCGTTGAAGTAATTTTGGGAAGGGGCGAAAATACTGGTTAGCTGATTGGCCTATGTTGGTGATAGACGGGCCAAATAAACCAATCAGATCAACGAAGCATATGACGTACTAACAAAGCGACGACGAAAACACAACCACAAGCCAGGCTACTCTTTCCGAAACCAGTCGGGAGAAGAGCAAAAACATCTTTTCCTCTGAGAAAAGCCTCCAGAGCAGTGTTTTGCTCTTCTTTCAGTGAAGAAATACTCTGTAATTCCGATAAAACTTGCTCGATAGCCACGCTAACGCTAGTTTCATCGGCTGAAGCCGCCATGTTCTTTAGACTGAACGGTCGCGCTTCTCGTTGCGTCACACCTCAACCCGCCTCAAAGCCAACGCTGATTGGACGTTCGTTTGGTGAACGGCTCCAAATTTTCTTTAACGGAGAGTCTCCAGACTGATCTGCGAGTGAAACCTTGAAAGCTCGCGAGATCAGGATGGTCTCACGAGGCTAATCCCTACCATACATTCAAAGTGGTTTTGACATTGATAAATCCGGTCGACAGTAATCTTTTAAATAAACAAAACCTTCAGCTTCAGCCTGGCAGGACATATATGGTCCTGTCCAAGAAAATTAAAGCTTTATTTTATCTGAGAAGATGGGTCTGCTGCTAGAAGCTGCATGATATTTAATCATTTTGCTAACAATAATTTAGCCACAGAATAAGTTTGTGTGCTATTTTTGAGAAGTCACAAGAGCAGGAGAAACTTTGCTTTTAAATCAATACAAAATGGCATTAGTCATGATAAATTTCAATAGATTTCTTTTTTTTTTATCAATAAGTTGTCCTTGATGTGCCATGGTGTATACTTCTGCTTTTGAGAGAGCAACTTCTTCAATTAATACCAATTTGTATTGCATTTGCAATTTGTTTCAACACACGTTTTGATGCACACGCAACAACATGGGATCCTGTGATGTAACTGCTCTTCACTTGTGTTCTGCAGATCGGGATAGCCGGCTGGACATGGACGCCATGACTCCTGAAGTTACAGCAGTGGTGCAGCCAGCCAAAGTACCACTCCTTCCAAAAGACATTGTGAACAGTAAAAAAGCGATTGCAGTGCGCAAGGAGGAGAAGAGGAAGCTTTCCAAGCAGCGCAGCTATATCCCCAATGTGGATTACTCCCCCATGGACATCGACAAGCATCACGAGCCTGAATTTGTAAGTTCTGTTGCTGAAAATCCCTTGGAGTGTGCGGGATGTGTGTGTACTTTAATGAATCTGTCAGCCTTTTGCTACTTTTTACTTGAAATTCTTAAATTGGAATAACTTTAAAGGACATAACATTGTTTTTTTTTTAACCCTCTGCTATATTTTTCAAAGGGTCCCTGTCGGAGAAAACTGGATGAGATCATTCAAAAAATGAAGGACACTTCAAGAGTCATGGCCCTCTCTCTCTACCTTCCCAACTGTGACAGAAAAGGATTCTTCAAGCGTAAACAGGTGGGTTTTTTATTTACTGGACAGTTAATACTTTCCTCACTACTCTGTTTTTTTCCGTTTTTTTTTACCAGAAATATGAGCTACAGAGTTATTAATTTTTTTCCAATCCTCTTTGGTTTTATCAAAGATGGACCTAAGTTCTTAATGCTTTGCATCACGAATCATTGTGCTAAATTTTAGCTTAAAAGTTGCTCTGTGCCAAGTGCTGTGTTGAACAGCTGTGTTAATTAACAGGATTAAATCTATTCAGATAAAAAAAAGTATTAGTAATTCAGTTATACAGGTGGAAAGTGTACAAAAACAAGCATCAAAGGCCACAATGTTTCCAAATGTTTCTTTTTTCAATTTTTTTTTTACTTTATTCCAATTTAATTTAGTTAATTTAGAATACTAGCGTGTATGTTTTGTGTGTTTCATAACTTTCTATTATTTTTCCAATGAACAACAAACTC